AGAAACTGAAATACACATTTCTTTTCACTTTTTAATACTGGCACAATATTTCTTTCCTGCATTTTATCCTTTTTTGGCAAATTAAAATGATCAACATATAAACCAATATTTTAATGCAGTACATAGGTATCAGGGCTGTGCATGCTTCAGAATGTGTGAAGTTGCAAATGTTGCACGTATCTGCAACTCCTTAAAGCAGCTGTATTTATTATTTGAATCATGCATTTGTCTGCTGATGCAGATCAGTTCGTTATGTGGAGTTGGAGACAAGACACTGTGTTTGTGCTCCTAGCATCTTCTTGTTTTTAATCCAAAGAGCTGTAAAGCTCTAATATTTCTTCCACGCATTCTAGAAATAAGACCAAGTTCTTTATCTCCGTTCCTGAGAGGAGAAGAGGTGGTCCCTTGATGTAGCCCTGTGATACTCCAGTGCACACGCTCTGCAAAAACCTTCACATCCAAATGCCTTTACTTTGTCATCTTTTCACCATTCTTTTCTTTTTATTTTCAATTCTTCCTCCCCCTCCCAATGGCTGGTAATCACATGAATAACACAGCACTGTCCCTTAGTACATTACAGTAGTAGAAACTGCTGAGCCACCACAGATGACCAGACTTGAAGAGTTGAGCCTTCATTCATGCCAAATTAATTCCCTTTTCACCTCAAAAGCCCTCAACAATTGTAGCAGCTGAGGTGCTGCCCATGAGTTGTGCATCTCTTAAGCTGTGAGTGCTCCCCATGGGAGAAGTCAGCTGGTCACGGCAGTGAAAGGAATGAATGTTTGCATCAGCAGACACTCAAATCTCTGGCTCTTGATTGCTTAGAAAGTATCAGCCTATGCACTTCTTAAATGTCTACACTTGGAATTAATTCTTAACCCTTCCACTGACAGGGCTACCTTATATTCACTTCGAATTACTCCCAAAAGGTCTCAGAAACACGTAGCACCAATGTCACTTTTCACATCATTTTGAATAAAGTAGATGTATTGGGGATGGGGTGGAGTGGGGGCTTGGGAAAAATACATGAGACTTCCTTCACCTACCACTTCATCATCAGAATTAGAAAACACTTTTGTTCACTCTTTTTTTAAATTATAGTATGATAGTATTTGTATGATTTTCTCTCCCTCTTCTTAAAATATTACCAATCTGCATGCATTAGTTAGAGAACCAGGCTACAGGATCTGTTTTTGAGAGGAGGATGCAAACAATGTTTCCTCCCTCTGATGAGTAGAAGACTGGCAGATTATGCACACCTGTGGAATCAAAACAGAACAGACACATGTTTCTTACAAATACAGATCCAAAGCTATGACAAAGAATTCATCAGATTTCTTCCCAAGCACTTCACCCAGATTCCATCAGAAGGAAAAATAATAGCTACTCTAGGCCCTAAAACATCTCTTGAAGATTTAGGTGTTTGACTCAGTGCCATCAAGCAGTACTTAAGATCCTATTTAGTCTTCATACCCCCAGAGTAAAAGAACTGGCTGGCCAATGTAGATTTAAAAAGAATCAACTGGTATGTAAAGCACTCCAATTTCTGTTACAGAATGCACCCTAAAAGAATTTACAGAAGGTGTGCTTAAATATCTCCATCCACTCAGCTCACAAAAAAATCCGGTACAAGGGTTCCCATTCCTACTTTCATCAGCCTTGAGAAAATTCATTTAGTTGATGGTAGCCATAGATGCCCACTTCAGATTAAAGAACATATACATCCATTTCATATCTGTATGATTGACTGTTTTTGCTGTCCCTTCCACTAAAGGGAGGAAAAATGCATAGTCAATAGTCCCAAACTTTCAAAAGCTCAGTTGCCTAGTCAACAGAGAAAAGAAGTAGTTGACTCGGTTGTGCAGACTCCAATATTTGAAAACTTTTAGGGATACAGAGAAAGGACATATTTCCTTACTGAAAGAGTAAAGGGAAACAGCAAGTCCTACCGTCCAGCCACCTGAAAGTATCAATCCTAGGAAGTCTCCTGATGATCACATAGATAAACATAACCCCATCTGCAAGACTGCATCCATGTCTACTACAATAGATACTATTGCCTCCCTAGAATGTGGTAGCAAGCAGTTCCGAGAAACATCTGTCCTTCCCCATGGAAGTCAGTTGGTTTCTCAAATGGTAGTTCTACACAGCACTTTCAAAGGGCAAACTTAAGAGGCACTCAACACCACTTCCAGGTCACTACCAGTGGCAGCCTTGGTATAGAGAGTGCACTACTAGGGCAAAGTGTCTCTGGGTGTCCAGATATCCAACAGTGCAAAGCACCGTATTAACTTCTTACAGGTAGTCCTCATTTAGCAGTGGCAGGTGGGACCAGCAACTCAGTCATTAAGTAAAGTGGTCGCTAAGTGAAAATCATGTGACCACAACTGTACTTAAGATTTTATTTCAGCTTTCCTTTGCTTTACAGAATCAGAGGGATATGACCCCCAAAAAGCTGGGTGAAGTCAAACAGCTGGGATGGTTTCCAGAACATGACTCACAGGGAAGGCAGATAAAAGGGCAAATATTATAATCCTTTTTTCCTATTCCCCCACCCTTTGGTATGATCCCCCAGTGCTGGGATAAGTAGCAAGAAGAGAATTAATGTTTGTATCTGTGTTCATTGGAGAGGAAGGGATTACATGAGAGTAAGCAGGCCCACAATGGGGAATACACATTGAAAGGAATGTGCTAGTGCCAGCTGTTTGCCTAGTGTGCTCACAGTTGCAAGCCACAAGCTGCTTAGGAGGCAAACAAAAGCCTCAGCATGTAACTGATTAAGGTCTTGTCAATTTCAGGCAGTAGCTGCCAGCCTTCAGAGGGTTGTAATCATTAATTAAGGTCACAGAACTGAGCCTGTTTGCTTGCAGAGTGCTGCTGCCCTGCAGAGAGAAGCAGCTCAAGAACAGATAGCTTCTTTAAGCAATCTATCTGCTCTGTGTGAGGGGAAGAAAGGAAAAAAAAAAAAAACCTGGGTCAGGCATAGGACAATGCATACCAACTAACTATAATGACAAGCACATGACTCAGAGGCTGTGAAGGTTGTAAATGCAGGCATTGGTTGCAAAGTTACTTTTCATCACCATTGTAACTGCAAATGGTCGCTGTCCAAGGCAATTGCTAAATGAGGACTACCTATATAGCTCAGGGTAGACCATTATCAAACTTCAGCATCTGTGTAAGGGATCAATAGCTTTCTTGGAGTAAGATGGCAAAAAGCAATAGATCTATATGTCATCAACATCCTAAATGCCCAAAAGCTCCCTTTAAAAAAAAAAGCAATTCTGTTTTTTTCTGTGCTATTTCTTATAGTACAAAAGTAATTTAATTTAGTTTAGAGATACTATTTTTAAATGTGTTTAATTTTATTGTATTTTGCTCTGAAATTGAATGGCAAATTATAATTTTTTTTTACTCCATTAAAAAAGTGCTTTATAATTCCCTGAAGTTTTTTTTTTTTTTTTGTGATGACTCTATATAGTCCTTTCTGGAATAGTAGTGCTTTTTTTTTTCCTTGCTTCTAAGTAGCATATAGATCAGAAATGTGCAACCATGTTGGACCAAAAATTACCCTTGGCCTTTGAATAACATGGTGGGTCTGAATTCCAAAACAATAAGAGGAGAAAATGGGGAAAGAAAACTAAATTTAATTTAAGGTACTCTATAATTTTTGTTTACTGTCACATTAAATTATAATTTAATTTCTGCGTTTCATGTAAAAATATTAATACAATTTTGCAACAGCTTTTAGAGGAACTCTGATCTCAAGAGCCAAGGCTTTAGAGGACCTCATGTTGCCCTTAGGTTATGTACTCTAGAAGTAGAAAAAATTACCCAAGAATGTTCTACCTGAGTTAGTCTAAATATCATTCTTTCCACAACTTTTTATTTGGAAAGTCCTTGGACAAGAAGATGTTTGTTGCAAATATGTGACCCTAATGATACAAGGTGGAGATAATTGAGTTAGCACTCCCAGAGAAAGACAGCATGGTTAAGAAATGAGGTGGAGTTATTATACACAATGGCTTGCAATGAAACTAGAGCAATCTAGATAATCTGCAACAACAAACATGAGCAAAATATTACTGTAGATATAATAGATATAGTACTCAGAAAGATCTGTGACCTAAATTAATGGTATTGGGGGCAAGAAAGTAAGTGTCCTTCAAAGCAGTAGAATTGTAACATGTAATGTTTGTTGGGTAATATTAGAAGTACTGTCTGTGAGTTCCCACAATAGTGTTGGAGGGGTGGTTTCTCTACAAATATTTTGTCTGCTGTTATTGATAATTTTATGCTGTAAGTTTGAAAGGGCAGATATAATATTATGTAATGGAGAAATATCCCAATAACTTGGATAGCATTTCAGCAGAGATCTCTGCAATTGAGTAAACCATTAATGATGAGAACCATACTGAGCATTTCGGAAGCAGAGGGATGTAATATTTCCTGATTGAAAGTACTCTAATAAAACTTAAATTAAACAGTGTTGATTGCTCTATTTATGCAAAATGGTTTTTCCAAACTGCATTCTAGGGAAATCTAAAATTATTTAGAAGCCCCCCCACCCACTCACTCTTCAATGAGAAAAACAATAGCAGCAGAAAGATTAGAAGCAGCTTGTCTCCTGCCATTTCTTGTGATATACACCCTTGGGAAAATAGTGTAGTGCAAATTTTAGAGCAATAATTGCCAATTCTTTAGGCCAACCTTGTTTTATGGATTCCGCCCCCCCCCTATTTTAACTGCTTACTGTTAGATTGATGGTAAAACCAAATATATTGGCAATGTGGCTCATCTAAATAGAGTGAATATTTTGAATAGTCTAATTTTTAAATAATACACCAAGGTTCTTTGGCAGGCTTGGTGGGATTCACAACTCAATGTAAAGGGGCTTTCTGAACATCAAAAATTTTAAAATAATGTATTTATAACATAAAAATCAAAGTGCAATAATAAATTTGTTGATTAATTTCTGTGCTGCCATGGATGAATCAAATACTCAAATAATTTATAACCAATTTCAAAATAGTCTTTATATTTTTATAAGCAAAGGAGAGGTAAAAATACAATGCACTATATTTACGCAACAGCATGCTGATGACAATAAAATATATCTTAATAGAAAAAGTAATAATAATGTTTTTTTAATAAATTTTGTTCAGATTGTATATATAATTGAGAATTATGGAGATCCTAAAGTAAATTTGCATGTAAACACTATTGGAATCCTTTGTTATAGCTGAACTGAACTGCTGACTTCTATATTCAGTATTTTTTATACACAGGAGATGATGTCATTGCTAGCAAATGTACACATACACTCCCTTTCTCATAATTCCTGTAATAAAAATGCTGAAGTTTCTCAACTGGCTGTTTAGACAGTGTCTCTCTAAAGGATTTTCTCTGTTACCTTAATTCAATGCCATTTTCAAACATGTATGATAAACATATATCATCCCCAAATCAAAACATGATTTAGAAGTTTTGAAACTTCTGTGTGTACATATATATATATATACACATATATATATACATTCATACGTACGGACACAAAGAGAGACATACCATCTTGTTCATTTAGTATTATGTGTGATGTTGTTAACCTCACACCAATGTTTTTGTGTGGTCTGGGAGAGTGTCAATTCACTCTCTCGGACCACAGGCCCTGTTATATATTTTTCAGTAACCGTTCCTCAGTTTTAAAAAGGAAAGTTTGTGCAAAGGAAGGATCTATTTCCTGGCACACTTCCAAAAGAAACTACGTTTAATGCATTAAAAACTTTTAACAAAGTAGCACTTCTGTACTAAAGCGATAAACTTCTACAAACATGTACAACAGAAATGAACTCACGTTTAATAGAGGGCGAACACTATTTTAAAGACACATTAAATATTACATTGTCCTATTTTAGATTCTGTATACTAAATACAGTATACTTACCTTTTTTAAAAAAAAATCTTGCTTTTCAGTATCGTTTTGTACTTAAAGATCTGGCATTCGCATTATCCATGTGTGTATAAATAATAGATCTGGAATGTGATTCCCATTTTAAAAGTTTCTGCTTGCTTAATCTCTCTAGACCTTAATAATCAGTTAGGAAGTATATCTTGAAAAACCATGGATCGTGAGAGTCTTAGCTGGTTATATTGCACTGTAGTAGAAAAGCAAATGGGTTACTTTACTCCTGGGGAATCTGGTTCTGCCTGTTGGAGATACAGCCTTGCTTCCAAGGCGGGCCATTTATTCTAATGAGCAAATACCAGGAAGTGTTTTGCCCAGCTCTCTCCATACTGTATTTTCTAGCTTACAGTACAAATATCTGTTGCTTAATACTATTGCTTTCCTAAAAATAAACTCCCTGAACATCAGATTACTTATAATGAAAACTAGAAAAAAACAGAGGAAGGTGAAATGTATTACCAAAAGTTTTTTTTTAATGTTTTAGTTATGTTTTATTAGTAGTTGTTTATCTTCTACTTTGCTTTTGTATTTTTATTCTTGTGCAATTTCTGTTTATCAAAGCTTATGCAATTAAAAACGTTTTTTTTTTAATGAAAAGAATATATTGTTAACACAGAAAAAATCTTCACAATGATTGCTGAGATATGAAGGGAATGATGGACTTGCATAAATGCTGTATATGCAAAAGGCTGTGATCTAGGAGATGCAGTACAGCACACCACTTTACTCATTCATTCAATATATATAGTGGTGGTGGAAGGGAAGAACAATTCTTACATGTTGCTGAGAAATGCATTATTAAAATTAATGAAGGAAATAAACAGTTGTGAGAACCACTGGAGTTAGTGGATTGTCATGAAGTGGAGAGACCTAGGTTTTTGTTCTTTCTTTTCTTTTCTCTCTCAAATACTTCTTTGGCATTAAGCTCTCTGAATAATCTGGACTTGTACTCTCACCCTGATATGTACAGGTCAGCAGGGGGAAGAACAGTGCATGCTAAACTTAATTTCTGAGAAGAATGAAGAATTAAAGTTATTGTAAAAACTTCATTTCAACAATTATTAAATTTTATTAGAACCAGAGTGTAATGAAAAGAAGGAAAATAACTACTTGTGTGATTCTGCTATAATTTGTGTAAGAGTTGCCCAGTGCCAAAATAGGTAAATTTGTGAACTTATGTTTAGGTAAAAATTTAAAGAGAAACTGGTTCTCTTCTGCTTTGTATATCTCTAAATATAATTTCACTTTCCCTGTGCAGTGCTTTGTGGTAGTATTCTACAATGTGGTATTCTTCATTTGTAGTCCAATATATTTGGAAAAAGCACTGAGCTGGGGAAGGCTATGTTAGAGGAACTTCACAAAATAAGCGAAGTACATGGAGAGCACTTTCTTTTTACTGAGCATGCTCTTGTTTCTAAATCAAAGGGTTTTAATGCAGATCTTGTCAGTACTATTTGCAGCCTACACTGAAAAATCATATTCAGTAGGTAGCAGTGGGGAAGTTTTGAGGCTTCTACCTAAATATGCTGATTTTTTTTTTTCTGAAATCCCATGTGTAGTTGATTTTCTAAGAAATGGAAATACTATTCTAGCCTTCTTAATAACTCTTCTCTTACTAATGAGAATTGATATTTTTCCTTGGAAGAACAAAAATATTAAGATCAGTTTTATCACCTATGTTGTGTATAGGCTTTTCTATCAGATTCTTTCAAATCCTGTATTTTTCAAACATATCTCATCCATTGTGTTGTCAACCTGTCTGTACACATGGGGCAGCCATTGAAACCTTATCAAAGAGGTATATCACAAGCCTGGAAAAGCTGATCCATTGCCAGCATAGGATTGCTTGTAAACTTAACAGCAAGAACAGTCATTTACATTTTTATCTTTGCAATTTAACTTTCCCTATCATAATATTTTACTCCGACATAGTTGTGTTATGAAGAACGGTATACACAAATACTTTCACCACAATCTTAAGGGTAGTTATTTTGAAGTGAATCCAATGAAACTTCCTCCCATAAAAAGCTCACAAGGTTGCATTTTTACAGCATAACTTTGTGCGTCTATTGTCTTCATACGTTCATCAGAGGCATTTTCACATAAAAGACTTTCCAATATGATTTGCCACATATATTTGCTTTTAAGAGGATTGTTCTAAAAAAGGGCAGAATTTTCAGGAGACTGTAAGGAAAGGACAAGTGTAATAGGAAAATAAGATTTTAACTGCCTTCTACAGGAAGATATTTGAATTCCATTCACTAAGGATAGGTTTGATCAAGACATAGGCTTTCTGACATTTAAGAGTAATGAGAAAATAAATTAACCATTTATATTTATTCCACTGAGAAGAAACTGTTAATAAATAGGCAACAGCAATGTTTATGTTTGGCTATAGAACAATATTTTGTGTCTCTTCTGTTATTTGTATAGATTCTGCTTATCCATATTGATTTGTGTTGACTTTTAGCCACAGTAGGTAGCACTGCTATATCTTTTTATTTGATGGTTTTTTCCCCCCTTAGATTAGCAAATAAACAAGACAAAGAAGGTGCCTTGGCAGAAGCAGATGTGATTGAATATTTATCTCTTGAAAAGCTTGTCAATGAGCACAAATGCCTCTGTCAGATTGTAAGTGCATTTTAAATAAGATTAATTTCTTCAGACATATTGCTTGGCAGAATTTTGAAATAAAATTATGTAATCCTATTACTTTATTCTTCTCTATACCACATGCCACTTTATTTCTGATCACTGATGGCCATGAGAAAGATGATTTGGTTGTTTATTACCCAGATGATAAGCTGATTTCAGAATGTCATTTTTCAGAAAAGTGCTTAATGTAATATCAGTCTTTTTATCCTAGAATGTTGCAAGTTTATTTTTTCTAAAGCATTTAATTTCCTGATGAAACATAATACTCAGGTGCTACTATCTATCTTGTTGGTTCCTAAACTGAGAAGGCTAATCAGTTCAGCTTTTGTTTTAATTGTCTGCTCTGTTACGGAACCATAACTTCCTATAATGTTGTCAAAAAAACTGTATTGGCCTGTCCATGTGGTCACCTGGCACCAAGATTGACTTGAAAGACCATAACAACAACATGCTATGGAAATGTAAGTTTCAGTTAGCAGTTATATTTTCCATCATTCATTAATACAATGAACTACTGTCACACATTAACGGGAAGCAAGATTATTCTTGACAGTCATGCCAACATTCTCTATGTGAATGTTTCCCATAAGCCTAGAATGTCATTACACTTGTGCTGAAAACATAGGTGTAGGGCTGCCAGGCACAAATGAACTTACCAGTGCAAGCCCTCCCACGTATCCCTTGAACTAGGATTGGTTTGTCTTAAACTGCTCCTCGTGGTATTTTTCTTGAGAGACGCAGATGTCACTTATACTACCCCTGAATAGTGGTGCATTGGATTGATAGAATATAATTGTATTAATTGGTTTGCTTTTAATATTATGTTAATACATTTAAGCTGTCAGGGTTTCTGAAAATGGAGCGGCATATAAATGGAAGTAATAACTAGAGCTGCTTCAGCAGTTGAAGTGACTGATAAATTTAATGAATGAATAAATAACAAGCAAATAAATTACAGATTGTGTTTATTTTCGAAGTATGCATATTACAGATTTGGGGTTTATAGATACATCCAGTTGAATAAGTGATAATATAATTTGCTCATTATTCCGTTTATTTATGTAATTTAAAATATTCATTTAAGTTCTAGAATATACTTTTTATTCACTTAGACTAATAGTAAAATTAAGTGAGTTATAGTGACAGAAAGAATGCTGCTCAAAAACAAGGAAGCATCACAGTGCTCAAGAATACACTAAGATTTTCTGTTTTTATGTTGTAAACTGCCATCATGGCATTTTTGTTGAATCTGGCAATATATAAACACAATAAATAGACAAAGATTTATAGATTTTTTTTTTAATGAAGGTGTGGCAGAGACTTATGGAGACAAAAAACAGATACTCTAGATAGTTCAGTGGATACAGAATGCTAAATGTCTGTAGGAATGGGCCAAGAAAAAGATAATGAAATAGTCAAAAGGAACGTTCTAAATGAATGTAGAAATGAAATAGAATAGAGTAAGAAAAGAAGAAGGTTTCACAGCTGGACTACTGCAGGCTGTATGTTTGTGGCAGAACATTTGCTTCGTTCTTGGAAAACTAAATCTTTATTTAAGCATTCTTGTCTTAAAAACCTAGAATTGCAAGAGCTTTTGTGGGAATTTATTGGGTGCACCATCAGTTTTTGAAAAGTAATTTTTAGATCATATAGGCAAACCTGAATCTATATCCCTCTGGATTAGAGCTGTGTTTTAAGAGTTGAGGTGGAATAATTGGGTGGGCCAAAATATGAACAAGTTATCATTGACAAGTGTGCTACACAGTCATTTTCAGAAATTGTCAGTGAGTTAATATCTAATTGTTCAATTTCTTATTACTGTAACAATATGAGGATAGAGCTGATTTTTTTCTTTGCTTATAGGAGCCTTGTTCCGCTATTGTGGGCTATGGAAGAAAAATTGACAAATCGATAAAGAAAGGATTACTTTGGCTATTACACACTATAGCTAAAGATTTTGATGCATTACATGAAAGAATTCAGAAAGACATCACAGAACAAAAAGCCATTGAAGAACAAGAAAAACGAGAGCGAGCAGAACGAGTGAGGAAGATAAGGAAAGAAAGGTATAGTAAAACATTATCAGTTTTAATTTTTATTTATTTACTTTGAAACATTTTTATAGTACCTTACATATTAGATTTCAAGGTACCATATAGATAAGGCAAGGATATAGCAGATCTAAAATGTAATATGCTCAGTCAGTAATTGTGTTTTCATATCAGACATGATATGACATAGTCAAAAATATTAATAGGCAGTATGGTAATTTGTTAGGGATTATGGGTGTTAAAGGCCAACATATTTGGAGAGTGCCAGGTTGGGGAAGGTTGCTTTAGATGCTATGAAAGACTTAAAAAAGGCAGTTAGAACTTCATACCGAAGGAACAGAAAAATGCACTTTCCCTATAGTACAGCTAGTTCATGAACCTTCATTAATTTCAAAAGCATTTTCCCATTTTATGCTAATTTTGAGTGATATGTCCCAGATTCTCAGAGACCATGCAGAATTCGTTACAATGTTATTTGAATTATAGCCAAGGAAAAAAGCAACCTACCATCTATATGTTCAACATCTGACAAAAACACTTGTTTTTCACTATTTAAAATATATTTTTTCTTGGTCACTGAAGATGGAGCAAAAAAAAAAAAAAAAAGGCTAAGTCTACCACTTCTAGCTAGAAGAAAGACTTAAAACTTTTTCTGTTAATAATTTGTTTCTATTTTATTTTTCTTGTGTTTTATGTTCTTTGTTTATTTTGGGTATTTTTGGGATGGTTTAAAAATATTGTGAATGGATGAATATAAATTTAAACAGGCCAAATCAAAGGGCCTTCACAAAAAGGTCTAATGATGAGAGAGGAGAAATACCTTCCCTCTATATCAGCAGATTTTATAAAGGGGTCATTGAACATCACAGCTGCCTGTTAAGTTGCCAGTGCTTGTTACAGGAAGAATGGATCTACAGCAGGAGATTTTCCACAAGGTCTCAACAAATTTGGGACCCTTCAGTTGACCTGTTCACAACAGTTGACAACTGTGAAATGAAGCACTGCTTTTCCCAATTCCAAAGAACAAAATAAAGAAGATTGATGGCCTGGTAGTTCTGTGGCTAGAAGGACCTCTCTTTGTATTCCTATGGCATTCAGCACTACCCACAGTGGTACACAGGGTGAAGCTGCTCAAGGCAAGGGTGATTCTAATTGCCCATACTGGCCAGAAAATTTTAGTTTTATTCCTTCATAGAGATGACTGAGGAGCACCTGAGAAATGCCTGGACATCCTGACTTTAAACCTGGACCTAGACAGACTACAACAATGCACCTGAACATTTAATGGAATATATTCTGTGCTCTGGCCTCTCAAGTCTCTAGAAACCATTTGGGTTTCAAGAGGCTGAACCACCTCCAAGACTTCCCAGTTGACTTGGTGTGCCTCTGAATGATAGTACAAAAGGCAAAAATTTGTCTACCAGCAGGGACACAGAAGTTTTGAGGGTTTCTAAAAACAGGCCTGGAGAAACACCACTTGCTAATATATGTTGCGTAGACAAGCAACCACTTTAGGCTCCCTTCTCCTGTGTTGCTTCCTCAGACGAGCAAACCACTCCTCCCTACCTTCAATGCCATTCATGGGGCCTGTCATTGGTTCTTAAGGACTTAACGATGACTCCTTTTGAACCCATCAGGCAGATCCCATTAACATCCTCACCTGCAAGACAGCTTTTTTGTAGTCCTAAACTCAACTAGAAAGTATATTCCATCAAAAAAGTGTGGTTCTAAGATAAGTTTCATGCTTCATGCTTAGGGTCAGTTCTAAATTCCATCAAGCATAAGAAGATAATCCTCTGTTTCAGCCTAGATTCTTCCCATCTTAGAGAGTAAACTGGCTCATACTAGATGTGTGCAGATCTCTAAGAATACACTTCAAACATAATCTTGAGGGACAAAAAGCTGATAGTCTACTTGTTTCCTACAAGACATGAATTCTGGAGAAACAAGTTATATGATTTGTCATCAGCAAGGTGGGTTACAGAATGAATTGGTCTGATGTACTCAGCTAGCAAAAAGCAGGTACTCTCTGACATTACAGCTCACTTAATCAAGGGGCTGTATCAATAGCCATAATAGTGAATATCCTGCTAATGGTTATTTGTAGGGTGATCACAAGAAAGGAGCTATTTTCATTAACCATTGTAAAATGTATGCTTGCTTTTACAGATAACTGTAGCTGAACCAAAAAGGTGAGAGAGGGGAGGATGCAGCTCTGTTATGTCTAAATTGCACTAGGAATAGGATTGGGTAGATTAATGCCAAGCTAATTTGGTTTCTTTTGCAAAGGAAGCAGCACATAGAAAATACTAGTTCTCTATCTAGGAGCAGATCCTGAAAAGACATTTCAGCTGACAGTTGTCCACATCCAAGTAGGCAAAATGTCCAGTAAGTTGAATAATGGCCGTTAGCAATACACGTCTAATATACAGTGCTACTCCAGTCTCAATGGGGCCAGTTTCTACTGCTAAGCTGTTTTATGGAGATTTAAATCAATAGATTGTGTAGGAATATATGCCAAGAAAGAAATCCTTGTAGAATAAATAAAATGCTGTATTGAATTCCTACCCTTTCTTAAGTTCTGCATTCAGTCCCTTTTTGGCTTTCAGTCCTGACCAAACAAGCACAGATAAAATGGCTCAAAATCTCAGAATGGGAAATTGGACCAGTTTCATCTCTCAGATAAATAGAATGTGCATAGCTGTTTTACACAGCGCTATCATTTCTCTCAAAATAGGGATTTCTTGGTGACTCTTCGGTATGTTAAAGTAACTTTTTAGCTGACTAGAAAAAAACATAGGTTTGAGGGATAAGCTGTTAGCCAGCATACAGAATAAATTATGTTGGGAATAGTATATGCCTTATTCCTGAAAAGAACACTCAATAACTTCAACAGCTTGTTACCTGAAATTATTTTTATTATTTAGTTTAAATTCACAAAATACGTAGAATTTGTAATTCCTTGCTATATCCATCTTTGCAGTCATACAGTTCACATAATATATTTAAAAAGTCATTATGAAGTACAAATTCAAGTCAATCAGGCCAAGTAATGCATATTTTTATGATCTGTGTATAGGAAATCTATTTGGTATATAACCATTTCTTTCTATTGAGTTCAGTTTTGATTTTAGCCCTTTGCTTTAACGGCGGAACAGAATGTACACTTCAGTAAATTAATGCAATCCAGGTTATCTAATAGAGGAATTGTAGGCCAGATTTCACATTGATTGACTTCAAGATGCAGTTCTTTCAGTTTCACACCCATCCTTTATAATTTCACCAATAACACTTGCCAGCATTTTAATATAATATACAGTCAGATCCAGAAATATTGGGACATCGACACAATTTATCTGCACATTGTAATTGGGGTACTGAGGGAATATCACACACCTGGCCATGGAACAGCTGAGAAGTTGGGGCATTTTCCCTTCAGTTTTGTCTTCAGCAAGTGAAATGCATGCTCAATGGGATTCAGGTCAGGTGATTGACTTGGCCATTGTATCTGCACATTGTAATTGGGGTACTGAGGGAATATCACACACCTGGCCATGGAACAGCTGAGAAGTTGGGGCATTTTCCCTTCAGTTTTGTCTTCAGCAAGTGAAATGCATGCTCAATGGGATTCAGGTCAGGTGATTGACTTGGCCATTGTATCTGCACATTGTAATTGGGGTACTGAGGGAATATCACACACCTGGCCATGGAACAGCTGAGAAGTTGGGGCATTTTCCCTTCAGTTTTGTCTTCAGCAAGTGAAATGCATGCTCAATGGGATTCAGGTCAGGTGATTGACTTGGCCATTGTATCTGCACATTGTAATTGGGGTACTGAGGGAATATCACACACCTGGCCATGGAACAGCTGAGAAGTTGGGGCATTTTCCCTTCAGTTTTGTCTTCAGCAAGTGAAATGCATGCTCAATGGGATTCAGGTCAGGTGATTGACTTGGCCATTGAGGCACATATGCAAACTGTTGTAATTCCTACACCGTTCACCTGAGTTGGATGTACATACCCTCAAATTAAAGTTTACAGTCTGCCGTTAAAGCATTTTTTGTTTGTTTCTTTCCAAATCCATTGTGGGGGGGTATAGAGCCAAAGATGTTAGAATTGTGTCGATGTCCCAATATTTCTGGACCTGACTGTATATGAAATGTTTTCAATATTTATAATATTCTAAAAAAATTAATTTCAGTTGATTCAAAATATTTATTTTTTTCTTTAAAAATAACCAGAGAACAGAAGGAGAGAGAAGAAAGTAAACAAGAAGGAAGGAGCATTTTGGATGAAGTAGACTCTGAGCTAGTAATTGGAAACCCGTTTCAGCCTATATCAACTGTAATCACTGAGGTATTGGAGCAGTCATCTATGGAAAATGTTTATGACAAATCAATTGATTGTTCATGGAGTGCTTTAGCCAGTGCTTGCATTTTTTTAAAAACAAATTCAAATTCCTTTCTTTTATCTTTAGCCTTTTTTCCTTTTCTTTGTGTGTTCTGATACTAGTGGTTATTTATTTTTCTCCTTTGCTTTCTATTTTACTTTTGTAGTTCTTCTTATTTGGATCTTTGTTATTAACAACTGCTATGTTTGCTTCCCTATTAGCCCCTTTTGCTTGCTTGATAACTAATTGATGACATATTGGGAAATTAGAACCCATTACTACATAACAGAGTAATTGAGATAAATCTCTTCAGTAACATTTCTTTTGTGATACCTTTTAGTTCTTATCTGGCTATAACCAAAGGGACTTTTTATGCTTTCCCAAATCACATGAAAACTTGTGTTCCTATTCTGGGGATGCTTCATATAAGATAAAGCTGTGCTAGTGTTAGGGTGCTACTTGTACCTAGAAGACCAAAGTGATCTCTTCTATTCACCTTTGCTAGGACTGTTCCTTCTACCTTTGATAGGTTTTTGAGATTAAATGCTAGTAAAGTTTCCTGAGGCTCTCTTGTGCATTGAGGTTCAGGCCATAAATATGCCTTGCCAGATGTGTAACCCTCTTATATTTCAATCTTGACTTTCTGCTGCTTTTCTACAATAGCGGTCTCTTCTAATTGTTTTCTCCATAAGTTCCTCAGCTTCCTCTTTATTTTGGGCTTCTTGTTTCCACGGCCTTTTCCCAATAACTAGCTATTTTTTCTATGCCGCCTTAGTTGTGTAGGTGGCCAAATAATCTTCAGCCTGCTCTGCTGCATGATTACCTGTCCCAAGGTGGTATTCTTCTACTCAGAAGTGCACTGGTTCTGATTGGACTGGTAGGAACTGTTCTAACATTGCTTGTTTCACTATTTCATCTGGACTTATTTTTCTTAATTGCAACTATTTACTGCTAAAGTCTGCCAGTTGAGCCCACAATTCTCTTGACTCCTTCTTGGACACTCTCTGCCAATATGCATATTTTGTTCCATCATATCAGTATAATATTGCCTCTTTTGCTTTATTATAGACTGTTACAGTAAACCTATGTAAGCTCTTCAGACTTTTCTTGTAAAGCTGGATGGTAACCCAGCTACCAATTCTTTCTTAAGCCATGCAAGTGTTGTTCTCTCTCATATATTCCAAAAGCCCTTCTATATTTTCCCTTCTGTTAATTTTGGAATTTTAATACCTTTGAGACCTTGATACCTATGAGATAAGGAAGGAGATCTTGCTCCCATTCCTGTTACAAGCATAACAGTTCCACCATTATTTCTTTCAATTCCTCAAAATCAGCCTCCTTTCTGATTATTCCTGCTCCAGTCTGCCTTGTCTCAACTTCTGTCCAGTGTCTGCCCTGTTCTTGCTCCTTCCCCATTAACTTAATATTTTTCCCCAAGAGCTTTAGTTATTCCTCCCATAACAGGGATTCTCACCAGTTTAGTGCTTTCCATCTTTTCAGTGGTTTCTTGTTTCTGTGCTATCCCAGATATGAGCACATGTGTGTGGTCCCAGATACTATTAAGGCTAGATTAATTACTTGAATAATTTTTGGAGTGGCAGGGCCAATTTTTTAAATTAATACCATCAAATTACTTCTCTTTTACATTAACCACTGCTTACTATGTCTGGATCCATTTCATATTCCACTGCTACCACCATATGTGAGAGAGTAGGAAAAGGATAAAACAGTTCTGGACAATGCAGAAAACTGGGATGCCAAATAAAATGTATTATTATACAAGGAACAATACAGTGAATAATTTATTTAGTTAGTGTTCAGTTGCAGTGACATTACCTATCCTATGTATGTGCATATATGAGTTCCTAATCACAAGTCTAAATTAACAATTTAATGTGCATTTATTTACAGAGCTTCCTTGAAGTTCCTTAATTGCTTCAATTGTTGGAACTGTTTTCAGCTGTTTCCTTATATAGACAATTGCTAAACCTAATCACTGGGATTTTTTATATTAATTCCCCTCTCTAGATAGCTTAGCTATACTTTTACTTGATATTCTGTCCTTTTGTAAGGTAAACTGGAGGGAGAAGATGGAAAAATAATTCTTTCCCAACCCCTCTTGGAACTGTGGTACTTCCTTTGCTCCTCTACCCCATTACAGCTCCCAAGCTGTCTGTCCTATGTGGATCCTTCCCCCCCTGCTGTTCAGTTGTTTTACGAGCAAGGTCGCTCCAGATCCTTCCTTCTAGACTCTGCTTGCTATTGCTGATGTTGTCTATTGCATATATCTCTTTCTTTGCTGATCTGCTGCATCAGTGTCTTTCTTTGGTGTCTTTGATCTCTTGATCTTTTGCTTACATGAGTAGCACCTCCAGTGGCCCATACAGAAATACAAAGCAAAACTTTTCCTTCCAACTCTGTCCCATATAAAGGAAGACATGCTAGGCTACAGGTGCTTCAGGGTAGCTAGGACTTTTCTAGATGCCTTTGTGACTTCAGCCATGTACCTGGCAGACTACCAAGGAAAAAAGTGTGCAGACACAGACACCCTTCTTTAATATTCTACAACAGAGAAAAAGAACAGTTTCTGTCATAACAGCTTATTCTGCAACAAGATATTTTAAATAAATGAATATTTTGGATGGAGTTTTACTGTAGTCTTAAATGAGATTGCCCTGCAGGATAGATGTTCAAAGCCTGAAGCAGATAATTATGTGTTCAAACCATATACTCTGCTACTAAACTATGAACCTATTATGCAAGCATTTCTGTGAGCTGCACTGGTTTCCATCCCATTTCTGAGCCCAATTCAAAGGACTTTGTTTCTTTCTGTATATATGCATCAGACTCCAAAGATTATATTCTGTTGGCTTTTTCTGGCATATATGCCAAATCCGAGAATGGGTTAACAAGTTGAATAATTTACAGTGATTTTCTTAAATCTGTTTATATAGCCCTTTTATCACAAGGAAAGAACATCATATTCTTCCAGATCTTTAAAAATCTGTGCATTTTAGATTTTTGCACTAAAACTGTGTTGTCATTAGTTTTATTTTGGTTTTATTTTTCTCTCTGGTTGTTTTCATTAGTTTTAAATTTTATATTTATGTGTGGTTTAACTTTATTTTGGAATAATGTATCATAGACATAACAATAATTGTATGCTGATTTATTGGAAGCTCCTCAGGAAAGTTTATAAATATATTAAATAACTTTTGCACTTCCAAATAATAGTGCCTTTGCACTTCCAAATTTCCTCAAGATTATTTGTAGTCAGTAAAGCAAAAAAAATAGGAATACCAGAATCTCATTGTCCTCATGCAAAATCTATACATGGGTCAGAATGCCACATGGCAAAACAGAATGGCTCCAGGCTGGCAAAGGAGAAAAGGGTGTCTACTCCCCTTATTTATTCATTGTATATGCAGAATATATATTAAGAGAAGGTGGATTTAAAGAAGATGAGCATTTAAAAAAAAACTGGAGGAAGAAACATCAATAATCTGTGCTATGATGTCACTATTTTGATAGCTGAAGATGAAATGATCTGCCATAGTAATGAAAGTCAAGGAATAAGGTGAAAAAATGGACTGCAAGTAAATAAAAATAAGACCACCAAACTAATGACAACAAGTAGAGCAACCAGCCTTAGAACTGATAATGAAGATACTGAAGTGGTAGATAGTTTCTGGCTTTTAGAATCAACTGTCAACAGTAAAGGAGCCAATAGGCAAGAAATATGCCACAGACTAACACTTGGTAGAGTAGCAATGAAAGCCTTGGAAAAGATATTTAGATGCCAGGATGTGTCTATACAGTGGGGCAAAAAAGTATTTAGTCAGCCACCAATTGTGCAAGTTCTCCCACTTAAAAAGATGAGAGAGGCCTGTACTTTTCCTCATAGGTATACCTCAACTATGAGAGACAAAATGGGAAAAGAAATCCAGAAAATCACATTGTCTGATTTTTAAAGAATTTATTTGCAAATCATGGTGGAAAATAAGTATTTGGTCAATATCAAAAGTTCATCTCAATACTTTGTGTCACAGGAAAAAACAATGCCTGGACAATTCTGATTGTTGTAGGTACAGTGGGGTGTCACAGGAAAAAACAATGCCTGGACAATTCTGATTGTTGTAGGTACAGTGGGGTGTCACAGGAAAAAACAATGCCTGGACAATTCTGATTGTTGTAGGTACAGTGGGGTGTCACAGGAAAAAACAATGCCTGGACAATTCTGATTGTTGTAGGTACAGTGGGGTGTCACAGGAAAAAACAATGCCTGGACAATTCTGATTGTTGTAGGTACAGTGGGGTGTCACAGGAAAAAACAATGCCTGGACAATTCTGATTGTTGTAGGTACAGTGGGGTGTCACAGGAAAAAACAATGCCTGGACAATTCTGATTGTTGTAGGTACAGTGGGGTGTCACAGGAAAAAACAATGCCTGGACAATTCTGATTGTTGTAGGTACAGTGGGGTGTCACAGGAAAAAACAATGCCTGGACAATTCTGATTGTTGTAGGTACAGTGGGGTGTCACAGGAAAAAACAATGCCTGGACAATTCTGATTGTTGTAGGTACAGTGGGGTGTCACAGGAAAAAACAATGCCTGGACAATTCTGATTGTTGTAGGTACAGTGGGTATTGACCAAATACTTATTTTCCACCATGATTTGCAAATAAATTCTTTAAAAATCAGACAATGTGATTTTCTGGATTTCTTTTCCCATTTTGTCTCTCATAGTTGAGGTATACCTATGAGGAAAAGTACAGGCCTCTCTCATCTTTTTAAGTGGGAGAACTTGCACAATTGGTGGCTGACTAAATACTTTTGCCCCACTGTACCTACAACAATCAGAATTGTCCAGGCATTGTTTTTTCCTGTGACACTCTATGAAAGTGAAAGTTGGACTTTGAAGATTCAGGATAGAAAGTGTTGATGCTTTTGAACTTTGACATTGAGGAATATTCCTGAGAATACATTGGATAGCCAGGAAATCAAGCAAATGGATAATTGAACAGATCAACCCAGAGTTTCTCATTTGAAGCAAAAATGACCAGGCTCAAATTATCATACTTTGGACACCTTATGCGAAGAGCTAGTTCTCTGGAGATGTCTATAATGCTGGAAAAGGTAAAAGGAAAGAGAAAAGGTCACCCAGCAGCAAGGTAGTTGAACTCAATTTCAGTAGCAGTGGGTGCAGTGCATTGTGGAAGACCTGAAGGACCAGGTTAGAGACAGTCGTCCTGGAGAACATTTATCTATGTGGTGGCTAAGAGTCAATACCAACTTGACAGCACATAATCAATCAAAAGATAAAAATATAGATCTTAAAGAAGACCTAGTTTCATAATTGGTGTATTTTCAGTTATTTTCTTGGAATAATACTTCAGGATGTGAAAAAAAGCTGCTAGGTTATCAGAATCAATATAAGTAATTAAAGGCTTAGTATTTTCCACATGGGAAAAACTGTAGTTCATATTTTACGTGCATTATCCATAGCAATTTGTCAATAGAATTGCCTAGAAATCTATATGCTCATATAAGGGAACTGAACTAAGGCCATTGAGAATATTTGCACAGTAAAATTTCAAATACCTGAAATTTAAAACAATTAGTGTAAAGTTATATACAGCAGTTCTTTTCTTAGAAGAGCTGGATATTAATTGAAGATTACATTTTATGAAATTGAAGTTTAATTCATTTTGTATTATTGATGACTTGTAATCTAGTGGGAAAGGCTAGTATAAAGACCTTAATATTGATCCTAGGCTGACAATGGTTTTTTTCCCCGTGTTTATTTGCACTGTCAGCATAGTTATTGTGGAAAACACCAAGGCTTCTTAAGAATCTGAAAGTGACAGCAGTTATAAAAAAAATCTTGACTTAGTACATGCTCTAAATCCTTAATTCTGTATAAAAACCAGTTTTGTAACATTTAATATATGAAATATACTTCAGTAATCCTTTTAGAGTATCCTGTTATTTGTTGTTGACATTAACTCCACCCCAACTTACACCTGAAATGCTGTTGTAATAAATGGCATTTTCTTCTGTGTTTTGTTAGAATGAAAAGAAAATTGAAAAAGAGAAGAAGAGGCAAAGGGAAGAGAATGAAAAGATTGCTATTGCCTTGAAATCTAAAACAAATCAGGAGATAATAGACATTCAGAGTCTGAACAGTGAGCAATTCAACGAACAGGGACTGATAGAAAACTATAAATCTGCACTAACACAACAATTGGAACACGAAGATGAGAATGACCAGCACATCTCAGAAAGTCTTGACTCTGGTGATAATGCTACTTTGAATTCAGGAACAGGTAAACTGATAAGAATTTGTAAATGCTGTGTTACCAGTCAATTTCTACTAGATCTTAGCACATGCCCCTTCTGATTTCTCTGTTGGGTATAGAATAATTTGGTAAGAACTGTTGATTTCTCTTTTCATTTGCTCTGCAATATGAAACAGTAAAATTATTTGGTATTCCTTCACAACTTTTGGTACAATGAACCTTGGGTGAGAAAGGGATCTTATTTAATTTCTACTAAGGTTTGGAGAGGATAAGAGATCTCATATCTCTTATCTCGTAAGCTTTTCCAAAATTTTAGTTTATAGTTTGAGTTTGGAAGGAGAAGAGAGTATAGCTGTTAGGCAACTTTCTTAAAAAGGACTAGGAACACCACTCTCTGATGAGCTGCCAAGCAATTGATAGATTTTTTTATGAACCGACAAACTTAAATTCCAGTTCTGATCATGATATTTTGATACTTTGATATTTTGATCATGATATATAGTTGATATTCTCAACTGAACATTATCTGAACATAATTGGGTAACAGTGTGTGCTTATTACCAATATAAGGTTGTGGCAAGCTCTGATGAAAGTCTGTATCTATGTAAACACAAATATCTTCTAATTGTGGTTCAAATTCTTTATGTAATATCACTGGTGTTATTTACATTTGCTTTAGAAAACAGTAAAAAGAAATCGAAGAAACTAAAATTAAAAAGAAATCACCGAGTTGAACCAGTCAGTACAGAAGAAATTGTTTCCCCACTTCCTACACCAATAGCAGCCCTTACGCCAAGTGAGTACAAAGTACATCAGTGTTTAAAAGTGGAGATTTTGAACATAGGGGAAAACACAATTTCACATGAAGTATTTCAAAAGAAAAGATATGTAAGTATATGGCATTGTTAAATATTGTGATGAAATGCCTAACAGATATTGGGAACATAGAGGAGGTAGCAAGACAGTTAAGGGAGGAAATAAGGGCAGTACTGAGTTCAGGGGAAGGGAAAAGCATGAGAAAGAGATTTAGAATAACTCTACCTTAATTAATATAACCAAGTATTAAGTATTGATTAGATATCTGATTAGATATATGAATAATCTTTCTCTTCTTTATGTTCTGGTTATGAATTCTGAGAGAAATTTGGATGGTCACAATTAGAGAAATAAAACTGAACTTGATAAACATTTAAATTAGGAATCAGCAGTCCAGGTGCTAAGGTGCCAAGTGCTTATTGCACCTGTAAGATGCTGTTTGCAAAAATCTAAAATATTATATATAAATTGATGATGTCTTGAAATATTTTGGTATCCTTGCCTGAAAGAGATTTCAGATGAGAATGTGCTAAATTGTGGCATTCTCACAAGTTCTCAGGCCTAAGTTTGTTAACATCTCATGAGAATTTACAACTTTGACCATTTTTAAATACAGTTTTAGTTTTTTTATTTTTTTCTCCTGAAAAGGTTGCCTTAAATGAATATATAACAATCCTATTATCATTGTTCTTTCACAGCTCTTTAGATTCTTTAAAATGGAATTTTCAGTGACACTTAATATTACAAACCTCCTAACAGCCTGGGTGCTTTTCTCCATCTACTTTTTAAAATATAATTTTATTGAAAGATTTAAAAAGAAGAGTAAAAATTAATACAAACTAAAATAAAGAAGTAAAAAAGAAAAAGGAAGAAATAAAAGAGTAAGTTAAAGCACAAAAAGAAAAGAAAAGAAAAAACATATAAAAAACTGGCTTCCAATCTTCTTTACAGCAATTTTAAGTACAGTTGTAGATTTGCCTGTTTCTCTAAAGTTACATCATGACTCTCTTCTATAATCTCTTCTATTTAATCGTCAAAACCATAGATCATAGCTTCATTCTTTTCTGCTTTATGCAAAAAGTCCATAAGGGATTTCCAGTCAGCAGTAAACATAGATATTGTCTTTTCTCTAATCAAACAGGTTAGTTTGGCCATCTCAGCAAGTTCTATCATCTTCACCAACCATTCCTCCGTTGTAGGTATTGCCAAATGTTTCCATCTTTGTACGTACAATAATCTCGCTGCGGTTATCATATATAAAAACAAAGTTCCATGACTTTTTTCCATCTGTTTATCCATCAGTCCCAAGAAGAAAAGTTCTGGTTTCAGTTATATATTAATCTTTAAAATCCTCTGAATCTGTATGCATTTGAACCCAAAGTCATCTAGCTTTTTTGCATGTCCACCAAGCATGGTAAAATGGCCCTTCTTGTTCACATTTCCAACATAGATTTGAAGTATCTTTATACGTTCTGGATAATTTTTCTGGTGTCATATACCAACAGTACATCATTTTATAAAAGTCCTCTTTAAAATTATAACATCATGTAAATTTCAATCCTTTCAACCACATATTCTCCTGTTACATCTGTATATTATAACCAAAAATTTTAGCCCACTATCACACATTCATTCACTTGTTCTTCTGTTTCAAATGTCAATTAAAGTTTATATATTTTAGCGATCACATGTTCATTTGTACACAATTCCATTTCAAAGTCAGTCTTAAAATATTCAGTACAATAAATTATTTTGTCTACTTTGAATCTTTTTGATATCTGTAAATAAGAAAACCATTCACAATTATGTCCCTCTACCATCAGTTAGTGGGACATCAGTTGTTCTCTTGATTTTATTTTGTATTTCCCCTGACAGTATTCTAGTAACTCACAGTATGTTAACCATTTTTGTTTGCCTATTATTTCTCATCTATAAAATGCTTCTTGTGCTGAGAGCCACAAAGGTGTGAGTAGGCACAACCTATATTTGTGTCTATTCCATATTCTCAATATGGCGTGTCTAGCATAATGATTTTTAAAATCTATATTAACCTTAACTTTATCATACCACTAATATCCATGCCACCCAAATCTCAGGTCATGTTCTTCTAACTACAAAAGTCTTCTATTTCTCAGCAACACCCACTCTTTCAAACCAAACAGCAAGCTGCAAAATACAATTTCAAATCAGGTAAATCCAATCCTTCTCTTTCCTTTGCATCTTATAACACCTTACATTTAACTTGTGGTATTTTTCCCTTGCCATACAAACTTAGATAAATCCTTTTGCCACTATTTAAACGGTGTATCAATTGTCAAAACCGGTACTGTCTGAAACAAAAGTATCATTCTAGGCAACACAGATCTCCACTGACAGTTGTTAGATCTCCATCGACAATTATTTGAAGTGTAGATCGATCTTACTCATTTGATAAAATTCTCTCAAAAATTCATATCCCTCAAAACTTTAAACAGGAAGGCCCACTTCAAATTGTCAAAGGCCTTCTCTGTGTCTAAGAAAATCAGTGCAGCTTGTTTTTCATTATGTTGTTTTTCATTATGCAACACATTTATTATATATTATCTTTTAACTGTCTTTTAGGTATAAACCCAGATTGATCCTCATGAATAAATTCTTGCAAAATTATTTTCAGTCTCTCAGCCAAAATCGTTGTAAACAACTTATACTCATTATTTAATAATGATATCGGCCAATAGTTTCTTATTAAAGTCAAATCTCATCTCTCATTATGTATTAGTGCTATATTAGCCTCTTTTCAGCTCTCTGGCATCTTTCCCCTCTAATTCATTGTATTTTGTAAAGATTGTAAAAGTTCATCCTCAAAGCATTTATAGTAAGAAGCCGGTAACCCATCTGGTCCAGGCACCTTTCCTGTTTTAGTCTTTTTTATAGCTTCGCAAACTTCTTTTATTGTTAAGGGTTCATGTCAAATCTCATCTCTCATTATGTATTAGTGCTATATTAGCCTCTTTTCAGCTCTCTGGCATCTTTCCCCTCTAATTCATTGTATTTTGTAAAGATTGTAAAAGTTCATCCTCAAAGCATTTATAGTAAGAAGCCGGTAACCCATCTGGTCCAGGCACCTTTCCTGTTTTAGTCTTTTTTATAGCTTCGCAAACTTCTTTTATTGTTAAGGGTTCATTTCATAATCTGGAATTTTGTTTAAATTTTGTTTCTTTAAATATTCATCTATTTTCTCCAGGCAAATTTCTTGTTCTTAACATAAACTGAATAATATTGATGAAATACTTTTTGCATAACCACATTATCTGTTATTACAGTATCTCCCTCTTGTAATTTCAATATAATTTTCTTTTCTTTTTCTTTTTGTAATTTGAAATTTGTATGCCAACCACTGCCCTGGTTTATTTGTAAACTCAAATGTTTTTGGGTTGTTTTGCATAATTCATTTTTTCTTTTCGTTTCTCACTGTTAATGTAAATAATTGTCACTGTAGAAGCTTAATTTGTTGAGAAATATTTATCTTCTCTGGAAACTTTTTTAATTCCTCTTCTTTTCATCTCATCCAAAATAGCTTGTGTTTTCTCTTGTTTCTTCTTTTTGAATTCACTATTATGTTGTATGAAATAACCTCTCATGAAACCATTCTTACATCTGTACCTTTAAGATTATTTTAAAAAAACCATTTTAACTTCTTTTTACATTCCTCCACTATTGCTTCTTTCTGTGACAGCATTTCATTTAACCTCCATATGAAAGAACTGGGTTTCCCTTTAGAAACCAAACTCATTGGATTATGAACTGAAAAATTCTTCGGTAACATCTCTACTTTATAAAACTTAGTAGTCAAATTCTTCAAAATCCAATTCATATCTATTCTCGAAAAAGATCTATGTCTTTCAGAAAAATAAGTGTACTCTCTTGAATTGCCATTTTTATGTCTCCATGCATCAACAAGCTCTAAATTGTCCGTCAAATTAAAAAAAAAACAACTGGTAGTTTTCCTTGTGTAATTTTAATATTGTTCTCAGAAGTTCTGTCTACTTGTGGGGAGATCACTCCATTCCAATCTCCCATTAGACCCCAATTTTCATAAGAAAAGCCATAAGACCTTTATAGAACATTACTTTATCCTCATTTGGGACATAAATTCCCAATACCAGTGTCTTAACCCCATGCAAATTAACTCCCACCCCAATATGTCTACCATGCTGATCAGTCAGTATAAGTTCTGGTTGTAGTTGAGGGTTTTCTCTATCTACATAGATGAATGTTTGCTTTATCAGATTTGTTTGGTTACATAATTGCTGTTTAATATCTTTTTTTTTTTTTTTTTTTGCAGTTGGATGGGAAACACCTAAAATTAACAGAATTCGAAAACTTGAGCCTCTTGGTGAAACTCATCATAAAGGTAATTTCAGAGGAATCACAATTTGCTATTTGTCCTCAGCACCATATTATATTTTGCATACTAGCTTATTTCTTTCATTTTGACTAATTTCATGCTTCGTTAAGAGCAGTCCATAATTTCCCCTAATTCTTTTTCTCTTTCAACTGTATGTAAATGGAATGTAGATAATGATTAATGAGAATGAGTTCATTCTCTTTGCTTCAGGACTGATCTGTTGCTTGTAGGTGTGGTCATGTAGTTGTATATTGCTCAGAGGGGAAAAAAATAGAACAAATTAAAATGCGAAGGACCATATCCATTGTTAACTATTCGTCAAAAGAAGGTCTGCTCTAATCTGTTATAGGATATTTTGGAAAAGATTTTAAGAGGTGTTGGAGAGTGAACAAAAAATAGGAGGGAAAAAAATCTCTTGAGTAGATGAGCTTTCACACAATCTTGAATCCTTCCCATTCTCAACTGCCTATAAATATTGAACCTAAAGATAGGTTAACCAGTTGCTAAATTTTACAAGGTGCAGCAGAAGGTGGGGAAATTGTTATGAGTTAATCAGGCAGGAAGCCACTGTGTGCCTAGCTTATGGCTACTTCTCTGAGTATATAGAAACAATTCGTAAGTATATATAGTTTTTATTATTGAACATGGTTTTATAAAATATAATTTTGCTATAAATCTTAATAGTATGTGAAAGGATCTAGTTGTTTCCTTGTAGGTTCTGATTTATAATATCCTCTTTATTGGTTATTAGTAAAAAATTGTTTCATTTTCAAGGTATCTGTATTGTTTTATATGAAAACCTTTAAAACTGATGGGAACTTTTTTCCTTTTTGACAAGATGGCATAGCCCATAGTTCAGTGATAGAAGTGAATAGCAGTGAATAGCAACCATGCATGTGGTTGCTATTCAAGCCCTAGGATCTCTAAAATGATATTGAGCAATAACCCCACAAAAGATTAATGCCTGACATGCTACTTTGACCTGCTAATCAGAGCACATAATATTAAACTACATCAGGGTTATCCGACTTTCTCTAGCCAAGGGCTATATTTGACCTTTGAATGGAATACCTAGGGCAGTATTTCAAAAACAGGCATTATCACGGTTAGGACAAAAACTAAACTTTATTTCATTTCATTTATAGTTAATTGCATTTAAAATTAATTAATTAATTGCAGTTAATATGGTAAGCCCGATGTATTTCATAATTTCCCCCTTCTTTCACAGTAAAATTTATAAAGTAGCAACTTTTGGAAGAGTTATGAAATAGCAACCAAGGTTTTCAAGATCTGCTTGCAGCACTGTGGCCTCAGATTGGATTAGAAAGATGTATGGAGACTTTATACATTCATAAAATTTCCATTTTGCATATAAATTGATTTCCTTTGTAATAGACAATATAATTTTCAACAGTTTGTTTAATATCCATATTTCTTTTTAAGGAGTATAAAGAAAAGAAAACGAGAGAAAGGACAGAGAAAGAGGTAGGGAGGAGAAGGGCCATATTTTCTGATTATAATCTTTTTGCTCTTAATAATGGGCCTGATTCTGGCTGAAGCAGAGGAGTGGTAACTAAAAGTTGTCATTCCTTAGACAGTATTTTTGTTAAAAAGTGGAATAGAATTATTCTTATGCAAGAAATACTTCTGATTGTAAGTTGTAAATCAAGTTTGTGAATCTGCCAACATAAGATTACATGTGATGTATACCTCCTTTAAGCTTTGATTTTCAGCTCACTCAAAGAATACAATTACTAATTACAATTCTGCATATACTTGCATGTCCATTCTTGTCTGTATTTCACTTAAAAACATGATAACTTTGATCTGAGATGATGAAAGAGAATATATACATCCCATGAGTACTATTTACTGTGGTTTTATTGGGACTATTATATGCCACTGACTCCAGTTTAGGAATTAAAATGATAGCGTGGGTAATTACTGGAATTCTAGGACTCTAGCATCCTCATAATAGGACTTTCCTATAATTCAAGCCCTTAAAAAAGCACACATACCCCCAAAATTCCATTTTCGCTGTTCAATGTTTTTCTATACTATTATATTCTTTATTTTGTTTTTAAATAAAATTATGTTTAAATTTAGATCAGCTAATAAGTGGAGTTGCATTCCTTGACCAAGACATCAGTCTCACCCAGCAGTCTTTAGAAAAAGGAGAGGCAATTGGGAAATTCTGACCAGGACAGGCAAAAGAAATAGGGTAGTTTGGAAGTGAGTATAGTGGGGAAGCAGCACAATGACCCTACCTCTAGAATCTTAAGTATCAAGGTAAGTTTAGCAACAGAATAGGGAAGCCAAGATACCAAATTCTAGATTATTAGATACAGGTGGTCCTCACTTAACAACTGCAGTTGGACCAGCAACTCCATCACTAAGCAACATGATCATTAAGTGAAAGATCACATAACCATGCGCAACTTAAGACATTAGTTCTACTGCAGTCATTAAGCAAATCACCCATGGTTGTTAAGCATGACATCACATGGCCTTGACTTGCGACTTATTGCCAGCTTCCCCATTGACTTTGCTTATCAGAAGCTGGCTGTGAAGGTCAAAAATGGTGATCATGTAACCGCAGGATGCTGCAACTGTTCTAAATGTGTGCCAGCGGTGAAGCACTTCAGCCATGACCATGGGCACACTGTGATGGCCATGAGTTCGAGGACCGGTCATAAACCTATTTTTTCAGTGCAGTTGTAAGTTCGATTAGTCACTGAACAAGGCAGTCGTTCACCAAGGACCTATTTTTTTAAGTTAGTTCCTAAAGAAGAAAAAACCAAGGTATCAGCAATAACTAATAAGGACTAAAGCTGGTGAAATTGGAACCAGTGTTTCCCAAGCTAGAGAACACATTTATTTAAACATATAGATAGTCCTCGACCTACAATCCTTTGTTTAGTCACTGTTCCAAGTTATGATGGTGCTGAGTGAATGGTGGTTATGACTGGTCCTCAAAGTTCCAGCCATCCCAGCACCCCACAGTCATATGATCATGATCTGGGTGCTTGGCAATCCGTTCGCATTTATGATCAGTTGCTAAGCATGCTGCGATTACATGATCACCTTTTGCCACCTTTCCTTCCGGCTTACCCAGAAAGTCAATGGGGAAGCCAGCAGGAAAGGTCGCAAGTCACTGAAGTAAGTCTCTCCCACCCACATATCCTCCCCCACCCCCTCTATGTTCGCACCATGCCGGCCATTCACAGACCCCCGTGCACTCCCTGACCTTCACCGTGCCTGTTGTGCACCCTCTTGCACCCCCTCCCTGACCCATGCAGCGCCTGTCGCACACCTCCTTGCACCCTTCCGAACCCACATGGCGCTCTCACGCACCCTCCCTGACCCTCCCTTGTGCACCCTTCCGCTTACCAGTGGAAATTCTGGTCCCAATTGCCATTGTAAGTCAAGGACTACTCGTATAGTCAATCTTCCTTGGACATTGAGAGGCTCACCAGTATCTATTAATTTGAAAGTGTGGGAGAAAGAAACTTAGGGTTTAAAGTTGCATGTGTGTGTGTGTATCTGTCTGAAATCTTTCCTCTGTGGTATTGGAGGCATAGATGTCTACAGCAAGGGGCAATGAGGAAACATAACGTTACAATGCAAAAACATGCAGTATGCTAGTACATAAGGGCATGGTTTACCTCATTAAATCACCATGCATGTATGTTGTTATTTTGATGAAATCTCAATTTGCTGTGGATGTTAGAGCAAAAGATGTTTGCTATGGTTACATCTTTGTCTGCTATAAAGTTTCTGATTTTACTGAATTGGCTCTGGGAGCTTCTGCTGAGTCAAACCAAAAAATGAATTAAGTGTTAAGTGTCTGGAGACTGTTATGTACTCCTAAGCCCAGGGGTGAAGCCTGATAAACATGAAAGTAGTGATGGATTTGTGCTCTGTGCATTGAATTCTTGGTTTTCAAAGAATAAGTCTGTTCCCTTGAAATCAAGGTGCCAGACTGGTGATGCTCAGAGAAATATTTAGAGAAGAATTTCAGAGACGTAATACCTTTGTCCCACTCTCAGAATGATAGCTTTTTAGTCATCAGAGCGAATGACGTTTTTGAGGAAGGAGAGTATTTAGGAAGAAGGAACCCAATTCTTGGGTGATGAATTCACATTCTCTTGTACCAAGGATGATATTCTGGTAGGTGGAGAACTTTTGTTTGTGGGGGATTCATTCATTAGGAACACAGATGGGTTTGTGACAGTCTTGTAGATCAGAATGATATTAAAGTATTCAGGGTGGTGAAAATAAAAAATAAATGTGAATAGTTCCAGAAAGATTTTTTTATAGTAGGTGAAAGATTAGCCAAGTGGCAAAATGTGACTTGGTTCATTTTAACTAAGTGCAAAGTGTTGTATGCTGAGACAAAAACCCCTAACTTCATATATACTCCAATGAGTTTGAGCTGCATTCAACTGATTAGAAAAAAAAAAGATTTGGAGGTCATAGTGGATAGCTCAGTGAAGATGCTGACTCAGTATGTGTCAGCTGCAAAAAGGTAAAATCCATGCTAGTGATCGTTAGAAAAGAGACTGAAAATAAAACTGCAAACATTGTAATTCCTTTATACTAATTTGGTATATTTGCATCTGGAATACTGTGGACAGTATTAGTCAGCACATTTGAAAAAGGGTGTAGGAAGAGTGAAGAAGAGGGCAATCAAAACTATTAGGGTCTTGAACACCTTTCCTTTGAGAAAATCTGGAACATCTTTATCTTAGGAAAAAAATGTGAGTGACGGGACTAAGTTTATAATTGAGGTATATAAAATCATGCGTGGGATGGAGAGAGTGAACAGGGAGAAGTTTTTCTCCTTCTCTCAAAACACTGAGAGTCATAGAGTGAACCTGACTGAAAGATTTAGAACGGCAAAAAGAAGCACTTCTACAGGCAACACATGATTAATTTTTGATTAATTTTTGATTAATTACTGTGATCTCCAGTAATATGGATGGCTTTCAAAGGGGGTGGAAAAATTCATGAAGGACAGGTCTATTAAGGGCTTTTAGTTTTGAAGACTAAATGTTATCTTTCAGTTGGAGGTGCATGCCTTCAAATACTAGTTGCAGATGAACATCAGTAGGATGATTGAATGTCTCTACCTCCTGCTTGTGAGCGCTGCAGAGGCATAGGTTGGCCACTTGGTAAACAGAATGCTGGACTAAGAAAAACTTTGGTCTGATGCAGCAGATCTCGTCTTCTGTAAAAAGGATAAATTTATTTTAGAATATTACTCTTGTTGTAAGGATTTATAACCAAATTAGTTGTATTATTTAATCCAACTCCTCACTTAATGTGTTATTTTTGATTTGTAGAAAATATATAGGAAATACTTACATTTATTTATTTATTTATTTATTTATTTATTTATTTATTTATTTATTACATGTATATAGCCACCACATACTTCATATCTTGCAACATATTGAAATTTAATAGGTTTTCTCCGTTGTAGATTTTAAAGCAGTATTAACATGTCCACTATATTTACACTGGGGGTAAATCTTGATAAACTAAAGCAAAACATGATGATAGATATAACTTAACAATCTACTTTCAGCACATCTAAGAATAAAAAATACTCTAAAAACTGTGGTGAATATAACCAGTGTAATGTCCTGTTCTGTCTCCTCTGAATGCACGCACCAGAATGCATACACCATCTTTTTATAGCTTTATAATTTTGCATATTGTAAACCTGCCTGAGTTATGTCTTATTTTCTTTTAATGTTTGTTTAAAGATGGATGTTTCTCTCTGTTCTAACAGTGGTTTAATAATTTGGCACAGGGTCTTGTTTTCATCTTTGAAATTCTGCTTATATTAAGAAATGCATTGTCATAAAAATCCTCAGATACCTGGTTTCAGAAATCTGTGCTATCTGCCATTAGCATCACCAAACCACTGTTGGAAGTATCCACTTTAAATCCTTGATGTTGGTTGCTGCTGATTTAGAAGTAGTTGGGGAAATAGAGAAAAAGAAGAGAAGCCAGATACTTCTTATGGAAATGATCCTCTGAAATTCTTCCTTTTATTTTCTGTATTCTGATTGATTTGATCTATACTTTATTATCTTTGAACTGTAAGGTGGTTGAGAGTGGCAGTTACAGGGATTTGAGATAACCGTATATAATAAGAGTTCTAGCTATCTGGCATCAGTTAAGTTAGATTGATCTCCTTATTATGTTTAACTACAAATTTATTTATGTTTTCAACAATATGGATTTCCACTAATTGAGAACAGAGTTCTCTATATTTGTTTTTGTGTCTAAGATAGAGTATTTGTGGTTCAAGAATCATAAAACTGTTTTGGATATTTACTGTTTCCCTTTTCTCAAGTCATTCTTCAAGTCATTTACTGTTTTCCTTTTCTCAAGTCAAAGTACTACCAGAAGGAATGTAAAAAAAATGTAAAAAAGAGACTCTGAAACAGATAAGCATGTATAATAAACATGTATCTTTCAATATGTACATTTTGCACAAGGTAGAGTTGTAACATCAGATGAAGCCTAAAGATTTCTGTACAACATTAAATAAGCAGACAATTCCATAGTTTTTTGCTGTTCCTCACAATAGTTGGATAAGAGGCATATTATCTGTTAATTCAGTTTCTTTTCTAATTTGTGCTTTAGATTTCTATGGAAAGCCATTGCCTCCACTTGCTGTACATCAAAGACCTAACAGTGATATCCATGATGTCATTTCTTAACTAGCAGTCATGTTGCAGCTTTCAAGTGGAATCTAAAATACATTACATTAGACATTGCTTTCTTTTTTGAAAAGATACCTGCTATTCTTACAAGTTGCTGGGCAAGGACAGCCATGATTACATTGGGATTCCTGGTAAGGATGTTTCTTCTAAATGTTAACAGCGCTGCTTCCTCAATTTACCAGCTGCTCTTCAAAGCTGATTTGCAGCAAGAAAACTCATACAAGCAGAATTCTTGGAAAAGAAATGACAACAGGATTTTTATTTCCCTTGCTGGAAATACTACTTTCAAGACCAAACTCAACTTGATTATGCATACATATGCTTTTTTTTTTTCCAGTTTGGCTAAATACTTTTGTATATTCAATGCTTCAAGAGGTTTTTTTTTTAACTATATGCATGTTCAAATGGAAAATATGAACTGTACATTTAAACAATTTGATATATTTTTCTAGTATTTTATTTGTTTTTAACAAACTATTTGGTCAACAGAACTATTTTGAAATACTAAAATGCATACCTATATTCATAAGTATCTACTGCATTTTTGGAAAAGCAATATACTTGTGTGTGATTTGCTTCACAATTTGCCTAGTTGTTAATTATGTTGTTTTGTCTTATTCTTGGTCTGCCTGGAAGAAATGTGTGATGAAAGGAAACTGTATTCATGTTTCCCTTAATGGGAAACAAAACATTTCAGGAGTTAGTTCTGACAATTAATTTTGTGTTCTTGGAGCTAGAAGGAAGGGGGGAATAAATTCAGCCAACCTCTTTTTGACTTTCCAATAGATACTAATAAATATATTTCAATTATAGGTTTTGATATTTATGGCCACAGCTATTGCAGTAATCATTTCATCTTGGGAAACATATAAATACTAGGGCTGTGCATCACTTTGGAGTCAGCAGAAGTACAAATGTAGCATCTAATTATACCTCTTTATACCAAATATAACAAATGTGTCTTTTCCTAGGCTTATATGGCAGGCATAGCTGTTTTAAAGAGTTCCAAACAGGTACAGAGTTCATGCTCCTGCACAATCCAAGGCACCTTTTTGGCTTTGAATCCAAATTGCCCCATAGCCTTTATGTCACCCATGCAAATACATTTCCCCATTAGGTTGGGGTTCCTTGTGTGTTGGAATTGGAATAAATGGAATTGTTTGTATCAAAAATTATGGTATCTTTCCCCCTTGAAGACTTTTCATTGCTTCAATTCTTAGTAAATGCAAATAATATTATTCCAGGAATGAACATTTCTGGGAATATGTAAATTAGTGCATATGTGTTTTTAAAAACATTACAATCCAATTTTTTACTTACTTGTTCTCAGTTGGGTATAATAGATAAATGATCAGAATTCTCATATGATCAGAGGTTTCTCTATATGCTCAGATAGTGAGAGCAGATGAATGGCTTACAAACTTCATAAAGACTCTTAGTACTAAAGTGAACAGGAAAGTGTGTGAATATAGTGAGGTTTGAGGTATATGCCACAGCCTTCTGGAACTTTGGAAATTCTTCTAGCAATATGTTATTCAAAAGCATCTATTTCTTTGCAATCTAAATTAATGTTTGAATTCTATTTGATATTAGTAATGTCTATGTTATGAAACTGGTCAAATTGAATCCTTTCATACATGATCTGTGTCTGTCCTAAACTCACGTAAAAATAGTCTTACAAACACAATCAGTTGCATACATAAAAGCTGAATGAGCTTGCTTTTTTAAGACTACTTTCTGTCTGATTCAAAAAATGGTGCATAATTGATGGTGCATATAGTTCCAAAATGTTCCTGAATTTTTAGAGTATATACAAATGGAAGATTGTTTTTCATTTTCCCTCGGAAATTAAATGTCCTTTCCTTTTAGTTAACAGTGAAAATTGTTAAGGTCTGCCCTACTTTCTTGAAGCTCAAAAACATTTTTCTCTTTCTCAAGGCCATCCTTCTTACCTGTGCTGTATTTTTCCCTGCCTTCAGTCCTCAAAATCTGTTTCAGATAGATTTTCTATCTGGAGAAGATTTTGAGGGCAATTCAAGGATAGAAAGAATTATTTACTTCCTGTTTTATCAATGGAAATAGATTCAATAATGAAGCATATTAATGGGATTTTTTGTTGTTGTTATAAGATGCATTGGTACTATTAGGAATGTATTTTTAACATGTTGACTTTCCTTGTGTTTATTATGGCTTTTTATTTATTGAATAGTTCATTTCATGTTTTTTATGTATGAAATAAAGATACATAGAAATGTGACTTAATATTTAATCTTACAATCCATTTTATCTGAAGCACTGTTTTTATTTTTAAACATTATCAGAAAGTTTCATTAATGACTTGCTAAGGAATCCAGCTGAAGTTTGATAGATTTTCAAGTTTTCCCAAAACACCTGAGCCAAAGGTTATAATATGGAGTAGGGCTTCTGCCTCAGAAATTATTTGAAATAAATGCCTTGGCCCTAGGGTGAGCAACATCACCTCTCCATTGTTCATTAAACCACTTTATCCTGAAAAAAAGAAAAAAAAAGTAGTGCTTTAAGGGGTTGAGTCTGAGAAAAGGTGCAGCAGCTTTAAAGAGTCAGTTCATTGAAGTTAATGTGACTTAAAGCAGCTGTTCTTTTTCCAGGCTTGTACAGCCCTAATGTAGAACAGGACTAAGCAACTTGGAGTCTTAAGAGCTTTTGGACTACAGCATCTTAATACCTGCAAAGCAGCAGGTTGCCCATCTCTGGTGTAGAGTCTGGATCTAGCACATCCTATTGTTACTTAGCAAAATGTATCAGTCTGAACACCATATCGAAGGAAGAGTCCACAGTTTTAGTTCTGCAAAATCTCTTTGCTCCCAAGTCAAGACTCCCAAGCGTTATATCAGGACAGAAATTGAATATTGCTCACTCGAGAATATAACTTTTCCAGGTCTAGACGATATTTGCCATCTTGAGAAGAATGAAAAGGATATTCTCACAAATGTACTGCTGCAAGTCTGGTGGTAGTCATCTTGTGCATTCACAAAATGGCTGGCAAAGCAGACATGACTACAGCAAACTGATGAAAATATTCTATCAACAGCAAGCTGACCACTGCTGCCATTGCCAGTGTTATCACCATAGCTTATCTTTGTGTCTCCCGTCTCCCCCAACAGATGGGCACATTTTCAAACAAAGCATCAGGGTGCAGCCCCTCGCGTTTTTATTTTCTAATGATGCCCATGGGACCTAGGTCTTTTGTTTTACACAAGATCAGCTTTCAATTTTATTTTCAATTAAATAAACTCTTTGCCTCCCTCTCCCACAAAAAATAATAATAAATTGGAACAAGAAATATGGAACCTGATAGTTATTAAGTGAGATGTCCACAGATGCTATATATATCACTGATCTGACAGTTTTTGGTTCATCTGTGAAGTAAAATATAGATCCAAAACATAGCTCTATACAATTTTTACAGAGGATCCACATGCAATTATGCCAAACTCAGATTGCATCTGTCTATATACAGTGAGCCACTACAATTACAGATGCAACAGTTTTTGATGTTGCTATGACACAAAACTATGAATCCAATACATGACATAGATTTTATATGGCATACACCATCAAATAATACAGCACACCTATCTGCATGCAGTCATCCCTAACAATCTGAGTTTGGGCATTTTTGGCAATGACATGAATCTGAGACACAGACTGTCTTGATCTGATGTGTTTATTTTATTTATTAATATTTTTTAAACAACCCAATAGCTGAAATTCTTTTTTCTGGGGGGGGGGGGGTTTACAATAAAATAAA